GTTGAATTAATATTTTAATTATATAATGTGGCGACATTTTAAAAATTTTATACAAAAAAGAATCTGAAGATACCTGACGATAAATTGAATGCAATAGCACACAAAGAATTTGAATAGCTGATGTTATCAATGACATGCGAGTAATTTAGATTAGAAGTATGTGATTGAGTTCGATTGAGACGTACTATCATTAGTGTTAATAGATAGGAAATTGCGACCGTGCGCAGAATCCGGTAATTATTCACCTTTTAGTAGCGAGCAAAAACTGATATAAGGATAAGGAGTTTCTGAATGCAACGAAGTTGGTAACATCGTGCAGTTGCAGGTACTTTAGTGCTTCCGTTTTTGTAGCAGCCGGATGCGCCGGATATGTTTGCGAAGTTCAAAGTACGGAAAAAGCCTTTCTAGCGTGCGCGCTACGAGAAACGTTCTAGGACTGCTCCTTTTTGGCTTCCCGAACGTCATCTTCCGCAGCCAATCAACTTAAACTGCAATAACTTAGCACTTCCTATCGGTCTTAAATAGGATTTCCGGTGATGAGACGAAAACAGCGAGCGGGGCTTTGATATCGTCGCAGCCAGTTGCGATGATCTTATTTGCAGAAAATCTGTCGTGAAAATTTTTTTATGCTCGAATCATATTAAACAGGACAATTAATTTAAAAAGAATATTTTATAACGTTCTCTTTTTTCCGAAATTAAAAAGGATCTGATTTCGATATAATTGTTATATTCTAGCAAAATTTATAAACTTTTTTAATTTAATTTTAGCGAAAAAATTAAATTAAATTAAATTGATTAAAATTTCTAAATGCTATAAAAAATATGGAGGAACAAATTTCACAACGATTGTGAATAAATGTAAGGATTGTACGCGACTGTTTTTCGTCGACATCGAAGCGCTCGCAGCAGACGCGTGTATCGATTTCAATGCCCGATTCGCATGTTTATAATCTTCGGCACGATTCGTCGAAAACTGCGTAAAAGCGATTTGCCCGTGAAAGAGTCTCGCTTCGGTATAACTTTCACGTTTATGAAGTTAGAGATACGGAAAGTTTTCCTCGCGCCGAGAGAAGAAGCGCGATCCCAGAAGTTTCGCGGGGGAGCTTTTGTCTTCTGACAAAGTACTTTCGATGGCAATTCGGATTTTCATATCCTCCATACACAACATATTTTTATACGCGAAGTGAGAACATGGGGCTAGACACCCCGCGGGTGATTTACGGCGGAAAACAATTGGAACGACTCGACGGACAAAGAGCTGTGGCCTACGTTAAAATAAGAGCTTTCCGAAGATATTTGGCATCGTGGAAGGAAAAATGTTACTTTTTATTTCTTACCTTTCGTTCAATATTACACGATGTATAAAAAATATTTCTACAAAAATATATCTTTTATTCTATACTATTATAAACATAATTTCTCCGATTCTTTTTCTCGGCTGCCAATTTTATTATATATCCTTATATTTTCCATTTATATCGAACCGATCGAAATATTATATAATTTATTTTACAAAGAATAAAAATATGAGAATTAAAATATTATGTAACCAAAAATAAGGGAATGAAGAATTAATAATTTTATAAAAGCGCGTGAGATTAATATTTTTTTCAATGCTACAAATATAGAGTATATCTTTACTTTATATACTTTATATCTTTACTTTGTTCAGCGTAAAAGCGCAGAATTATCATTCCATCTTGATGTAAAATATCTCGATTCCGTTTCAAAAAACGAGAAAAAGTATCAATAGAGGAAGTTTTCGCCAAGCAAAAGAATTGGGAACTCTTGTCTTTCGACGATCTACATCGATGTACGAATTTTCCTATGGAGCGAATTTTCACATTTCAAAGAAAATACGTTAGAACAATTCAATATTCTCCAAGTTGGAGCGGTGACTGTAAGAGCTTTCAACGCTCGAATTCTCTTCCAAATATTCTTTTACATCGATCGGGCATACACACATGTCATATCGACTCTCAAATAAAGTACAATCTTGAGTAAAATAAATTAATCAAAGAGCGTGGTGAAATCTCGTTCACGAAATCTTGAGGAATTTATCGAGAGATCGAAAAAGACTTTGATTTTAGTTTTAAAAAGTAGAGCATTACGTAAAAAAATATCGTTATAATAATGTAATAGTAATGTCATATGTAATAATTAATATGTAGTATACAATTTTGTCGCACGGTTTTTTCTTGTTTAAAAAACAAGATAAAATATTAAATCCTTTTACTTGAGATTATCTCAAGCGTGTTACGTTTGCTTGGAATGAAAGGAAAAACCGTGGAATAATTTACTTACAATCAGAACTTGACACATACCTGCCGTATCCATATTTGCTATTCCATCGAGGACAATTTCTGTTTGCTTCCAAATTCCACGAAGAAGCTTCGTTCACATAAGGATTGCAGAAATTCACTCACACGATTATGATATCGCGCGTTTATATGAATTTAGGCGATTTTATATATTACACTTGGAACCTACTTTTTTGTATATTTTTGTCACGTATTTACTTTCGACGAAGGACGCATGATAATTTCCAGATCAAAGAGTGGCGAACAATATATTTTATTTTCAACGCATGAATTTAATATTCGTGACGCTAAATATCTTTGTTTATCAATTATTAATCGTATTAACGGAAGAGAAAATCCATATCGGATATTTTATTAATATCCACTCATTCATTTTTCACAGAAAAAAGAATCTAAAAACGTTCTCGGAAACTAATTCGCACATCTGTTTCTGAAATTAACTTGACACGCACGAGAAAATACAACAATTAATATAAACATGCTTCCTTTATTCGAGAAACACGTATCGCGAAATGTTATTATGTGCTGGGAAAAAAACACGAACATTCGCCACAGATGATTCTGGAAATGAACGAAAAGGAAAAGAAAGAGTAGAAGCACAACAACATCGTGTATCTGCCGTGATCAGTCTATTGAACGCGCGCTCCCGATATAGTTCGTTTGTCCAGAAAAAAAAACTCGTAGTTTATTAATATATTATTTTTCAATCGAGAGAGTACTGATATTGATCTATCTAGTCCATGTAATCACGTTCGATCGCCGTATCGTTCGCGTTCGATCACCGAATTTGGCCAACGATTGGCAGGTTTGTTTGGGATTCGTGTACGTCATTCGCGAATGACGTATGAATTTCTCTAGAATTTTTCACGCACTTTTTTTTCACCAATCGTGTGTAATATTAATCAAGGATATGTAAGAGTTGGAAGAGGAAAGTTTCCACCGTTAAAGTCGATTATCGGACACACAGAAAAAAAAGTATCAAATCAAAACTTATATACTTAAACTAATGCGTTCAATTTCGTATATACGCAACAATTTATAATTTTTAGAAGAATTGAATAATTTTAAATTTCAACAATATTATAATCTTATTTTAATATTATAATTGTCACTTCAAGAATATATAATTAATTATATATTAATTATTTAATTTTACTTTAAGAAAATTATAATCTTTGACTTAAAAATGTTATTTTCTATCTAACATTTTTTTCTTTTTCATTCAAGAAAATTAAATCGTAAGAATATATTTTTCTTGATTGAACTATATAAAATGGTTTCATTCAAGTAAGCATTATTCAAACAATTATATTTTTCTTTAATTAACGTAATATAATCTTATTTGAAGATTTCCATGTTAAAATTAAATAATATATTTTCAAACCAAGAATGTTCTTTTTTCTGTGTACATCATTCACGAATGACGTATGAATTTCTCTAGAATTTCTCACGCACTTTTTTCAGATTTAATTTTCTTGAATGGAAAAGAAACAATGTTAGATGGAAAATAACATTTTCAAATCAAAGATTATAATTTTCTTAAAGTAGAATTAAATAATTATATATTCTTGAGGTGACAATTACAATATTAAAATAAAACTATAATATTGTTGAAATTTAAAAATATTAAATTCTTCTAAGAAGAAATTTATAAATTGTTGCGTATGTACGAAACAATAAGCGTTTTAGTTTAAGTATATAAGTTTTAATTTGACATTTATTTCTTTTTCTGTGCACTTATTTCAATTCCGTCGTAATTCCTGGCACTTTTAATTATTAAAATTATAATACATGATCGGACGATAATTGCGCGCGCGTGATTGGCTTCGAGATTCACCACGAAATCCTTGCCGATAGTCGTGTGAACCATTTCAAGTGCGTCGCATGTCCATTAGTCGTCGAATGACGGGCGTCGCGAGTAGCTGAATCTCGATAGAGTGGAACGCAAATCGAATGGCGATCGTCGTTATTTTTACGCGAAGAGTCTATCTTTCGGGAATGCGGTCTCGATTTAATCGACGCGCGAATCGCAATCGAGATTCTGCGACGGACACTTTAATTTATCGCGTACGCGCTGCTTTAATATCGTCTTCGTTAGTTGCCGAACGGCCGCCATGACACTAGACGAATTTCAAGAGTGCCGAAGAAAATGTCGGATGATAACGATCGCATCGAGTGTCTCGCGAGTGATGGTGATTGATATTTAATCGCAGAGATGGTGATTGATATTTAATCGCAGAGATTGTCTTTCTTCGACGAACAACATTGAATCCTTCGCGTATCTGATTATCGAAAAACAGAAAGAAATTGTAAATTAATTTTTTTCATCGTCACGAACCTGAGCGAATATTTGCTATCCGATTCGATTTTATTTGCTCCGAAATTCCATGAAGAAAATAATCGCGAATGTACACATGGATATATCGCCTGAATGATTCCTTTATAATCGTATAAATTTACACGATATCCGATTTTAATATTACACATTTCCGAAGCGTATTTACTTTTGAACGTGCGTTTGTATCCTCCAGCATATTCAATTTCGACGCGAAAAATATCCCGATCATCGTGAAAAATCGCTCGTAATATTTCATTTTCTACGCGTCTATTTAATATTTGTAAAACGCGATATATTTATATATCGATAAATAATTATTTATTATTATCACGTCAGAAAAATATCCACAATTTTTATCGTTACACATTACGCTTCAATACTTGAGAAAAGAATAAACATTTTATCTGGAATTGACTCGACGAGGATACGCGCGTGTAAACATTATTCTTTATTCATCTCGATATAAACATTGTTTGGTATTCGAAAAACACGCGTACCGCGAGGCAGTGGGAAAAAAACACGGAGAGGCTCAACGCGATTCCCCGAATTGGCGGACGTGGGGTGGGAGGGAGAAGGGGAAACACGAGCGCGCGACGTCACGCGAGTGAAAACAACGTAGTTGAGTTTCGAGCGTTATATCGAGCGCGTGAAATATCGGGCGATCGTTGATTTCGTGGGAAGGTCAAGTCCCTCGCGAATAATAAGGTCGATATTCACTCGCCGGGGCGTGAGTCGCAGTTACCTCTGTCAAACCTTGGTACGTCGATTCCTCGCACGTCCATCCATCTGTCAATCGTTAAACATCTGACAGTCGTTACACGATATTACGCGAATATCGCGAATGAGAATCACTGGCGGCTCTATTTACGTTAGTCGTCGAATATGTGAACGATAATGCGCGAATTTTGGAAACGCTGAGAAGAAATGTCAAGCGAAAACGTGTACAACACATCGCGAATGCAAGTGAATACATAATGTGAGTGGAATATAATGACTGTAAAATACAAGAATAAATCCGCCTATAATGGATCGACTGGTCGTCGGGAGTGCCGAATAAATGTATCGGGCGATTATTGTGGTTGTGCGAGTGCCGCGAATATAATCGACGTTCGATCGAAATTATGTTAGTAAAATGAGTCGCGCGAAAATATGTGATTTATTTCGGAGTAAATAAATATATACGCAGATCGCGAAAAAGTATCGTGGCGTCGTCGAATTTTAAGTATCGTGATAACGTGAGTGATAGTGATAACGTGAGTGATAGTGATTGATACTCATTGACTGTCAACAACTTTAGTTGCTTGTGTGATGGATTGATCATCGAAGCTTCGAGACAGGAATGCATCAGATGATGAGAAGAAAACAGAGAGACAGGTGAGTCTATAATTATGACGATAATTATATCTCATATTTAAAATTCATATGCAAATTGATACGATACTATATATAATAATATAAAGATATAATATATAACAATCATTATATTATGTAAATAAAGTGATACATAAAAATCCCATTTCTTTATGAATATATTACTGAAAAATAATGTATAGCAAAAATTATTTCCACGATGGCTGTCAAAAATGAGATGGATTTTTCATATTTTACATATTTTTTTATACATTACTTTATTTACATAATATAATGATTAATATATGGATTATATTAGCTTATACCGATGTATTAAATTTTGTATTATGAAAGATGCGTACAATGTGGCATTTTTAAATTTTATAAAATTCTAATTAACAATGGAATTATTTTATCAAATATTAAACCGTTATATATCAAGTATATTGACAAATGTGGCGAATGATCAATCCGATTTCATTAATAGTAAATATTAATTTACTGTCAACATTATTTACTTTTGCTTTGTAAACATAGTGTATTTTCATGTTTTGTTTATTCGCGTATAATGTATATAATAATAATTGAATTATTAATTATATGAAAAAGCAAAAGAAAAATAAAATAAATTTTATTAAATTAAAGAAATAAATGTAACAAACTGGGAACGCACATACGTTAAACGAATGTAATTAATTTTATTTTAAAAAATGCAATTTTTTTTTAAACTATCCCGTTAAACTTTGTTATCAAACAACAAGATCAGGTTGGTTTAACTTGCGCATGATTACAGGCCTCGTTATGTTTATGGTTCCCAGTGTGCGTCGAGTTAGTTTGAATTAGGGAATTTACAAAGCAATTCCTATTATCGCTGGCTGCACCGCACTGAAATAATTATACTTCGATGAATATATCGCGGAACGTCGTGTCGTGCGAGCCATCGTGGCCGAATCGCTCGCGAACTTGGTCGACGTTAATAGCCATGCCCGCGCTATTTATCGTAGTTGTTTGTCAGTATTTATGGCGCTTTGCTCCACCGATTTTTCCCGAGAAAAATAATTTATTACGCGGAAACGTCGGGCCGTCCTTTCTCCCGCTTCTCCGCCCTACTACTGTTGCGACTTCTCGAGTTCACGTTTTTACGGCGCTATCACTGTGACATATTGGCACGTTTTCGTTTTTCAAAAAATTACCTGCACATCGCGATATTAGATCCTCGACGCTCTCTCAAATATCGCATTAGAGGAGTAAATAGAAATATGATGTATGCGATGTATTTGGGGCATTCCGATAAACTAAGTTTTCGACGCATGAAATGCGTTGTTTTGTTTGCAATTATTTGCAACAGTAATTTTACCCGTCAAAGCCAATGGAAAATTACAGCTTTCGAAAACAAAAGGAAAACTCAATTTTAGGAAAAAAATAATCTGATTTCAAGATGAAACAGTTGTCGATATATTTAGAATCGTTTGTAAAAATTTGATTTTTCTTTCGCGCTTGTAAATATACCGTTTAAAAGTCACAATACATATATTTATGAAAAACGCAACTTTATCAGTTTTCAAAAGTGTCAATTTTAAATCTGCTTGCGCTATATTTTTTAGAATTATTTGTAATTATTTATAGCGATTTCTTTCGTTTTTAATTAAATTATTTAAAAGTTATAGCATATTCACAATAAGCCTAACAACGCTATAAAATTATCATGTAATTATTTAATTCAAAACGAAAAGAGAATTATTATATACAACTATAAATATAAAATATTTTCTGTATTGGAAACTTAATTTATTAAAAGAAGATGTTTTCCAAATTTACCTAGATAAAAATGAAAGAATTTATTACGTTTTTTATATATCTATTATATTAATTTAAAATCAGACAATTATGTGATTATAAATATAATAACAAATTTCTCTCTTATAGTATCATTATGTCGCAAATTTTTTCCTATACTTGACATGATGCAAATGTAAATTATCTAAATTATCGCAAAACTTGTGTAATTTAAAAAATTGTAACATATGCATATTTTTAAAAAAAACATTACACAAGTTTTCAACGCGTGATAATTTAAATAATTTACATTCACATCAGTGTGGAATGTGTAGGAAAAAATTTGCGAAGTAAACATTACGAATGCAATTAATCAATCGTCTAATTTTAAATTTACAATACATTTTATTAATTTTAGATTTACAATACATCATATTTGCCATGTATTATTACAACATGTGTCAATATACACATCTTATTTTAAGAAATATTAAATAAAGCACGAGTGGAATTTGGATTGCATAATCAAGCACGTGCGCGACATCATGACGAATAAGAGCCAGAAAGGGTGAGGAGGCGAGAGGGGGCAAGGTAAGCGTGCCAGAAAAGTTGGGCTAATCGAAAAGTCGTCGTATCTGGTTTACAGAAGTTCGCATTTCTCGCATGCACAACAGACATCGCGCATCGTGAAGGTATCGCGTCGAGCTGTCCCGCGCAACTTTCGTGTCTCGTTCGTATTCGACGTTAGCGCGACACAAAAATTTGCAAGTAAATGAACGAGATCTAAAACGAGTCCGTCTCTATCTTTCTTTCCCTCTTTCTCCCTCTCTCTCTTTCTCTTGGAGCCGCTGGTACACCGACTCGAGTTCGTGCCAAGTAACAAAGACGAAGCTTTAAACAAAGAAGAGCGAGGGAGAGGGGGAAACGGTGAAATCTCCTGTCACGGCATTAATTAATCGTCTAAACTTTTAAGTAAATCGTCGTGCGGCATCCCTCGCCTTTCCCCACCCCTCGCTTTTGTCCTCGCCATTCCGCACGTCACCGACCGGCATCATCGGACTATTTATTATTCGAACCGCGACGAGAATGTTTCCAAAACATAAATTTCTACCGACGTGGGGCAACTTTCGAAAAGCTGGTCGTGACCAGCGGCGACGATAAATCCCGCGATTCCAGAAATGCAGAGAGATAGGATTAAATCGAGGGAGGATGAGATTAGAAGGATAAGAAAGAACTAGCATTTTGGTAACGTATTGGATAGGAATCAGGAGAGAAGAAAATCTGGTCAATTTAGATTCTACTGTATATTGTTATTTAACTCGGAGAAATGCAGGGGCGTAGCCAGGTAGAAATGTTAGGGCAGGAAGAAAATTAATAGAGAAGTTTCACTGCCCGATAAGGAGAAAAAAAGAAAAAAAAAGGAATGATACTTATGAAAAAGTATTATTGTAAACAATACAATATTACAGACGACTTGCAAATATTTGAACAAAAATTAATAGAAAATTATGAATTATAAATTTATAGAAAATAGAATTAATATTAATAAAATTAATAGAATGTTTAAATTGCTTGATTTTTCAAGAGCAGACAAAGCCTGTTCTTGCCCCCTCCCCTAGCTACGCCCCTGAAGAAATGTATATTATAAATATATTTGTGTTGTTATTTATGTACAAGATCAAATTTCTCGTTAATCAAAAATTAACTCTGCTTACTTGCGGAAACAAGACAAGAATTAATGCGAAAGCATCTGTTGAGGGTGAAGTATAGCTCGATGGCAATGTATTGTATTATAAAAACATGTCGACTGTCGTTCTCTTTGAAATCCGCGAGACGATCCTATTCTCAGCGATGTAAGAAACGACGGGAAGGGACATTAATTTCCGGTCTCTCGTTCGCAACGAGCTTCGTTTTTACGGTCAGCTTTATGCCGCACCACTCAAATAAGCTGAAAATTATGTGCTGTGTAAGTGGAGAAATGGGGAACTTTTCCCGAGGCAGTTCGTAAGAAAGCTGAAAAGATATCGCGGTAATTTCATGCGGTAATGTAAAGTCAGACCGATAAAGATAACAGAGAAGTCTATTGTATACACAGAGAGTAATTGAATATTTCTGAAAAAAAAGAGTTGTTCGTTTTTTCCGAAATTTATTATATTTGATTAATAAAAAGCTTTTTTATACCTGAATATATATATAGGGTGTTTTTTAATAAGTGCGAAAAAAGAGAGTTGTCCACTTAATTTCTTTACTTGTTCCAAATTTGAGAAAAAATAAAAACCTAATTTCTACCCTCATTTTGGGAGGTGTGTAAAGGGAGGGATGTAGGGGTATATATTTATATGAAAACCCTCCTTAATTTTCGACAAGGAATCTCCTAAAATTTTTCGCACCTAAGAAACACCGTATATATTTTTAATTCCTCTATTTTTTTTCTCGTTTGCGCGATATCGTTTTTATTTTACTTAATTATCGAAATCTGTGATGTTGGTAGTACAATGTAATTAAATCAGTGCATTAATTACATGCATATTCCCAAAGCCAATGATATTAATTATGTAGGTAGATAGAGAGAGAGAGAGAGAGAGAGCGAAGGGAAAAGGGGGGAGAGAGGGAGAGAGAAAGTGTTTATACGCGCGCTGTTCGATATATAATTTAACACGCGATCAAGAGACCATAAAGGGTTCGGGCTAAATATCTTTGAGCATACAAACAGTTTCCAAACTATTAACTCGCGCGACGAATAATAGATATTGTTCCACTTATAGTTGTCGCGCGCCACGTAGGAGTTATCGACTCCCCTGACGACTGTAATCGCAGAAGTAGTTTCAAGGATCCGTTTTCAGCGGTCGACGCTAATAGTAACGTGATATTGAGTTTCCGTTGTATTTACGAGGACCGGTCTTTGCCGCGAGGATAACATAGGTATTCCTGAGTCGTTAGGTTACCGCGCGACCGCGATTCCACAGTGCAATATTATGCCCTACTTATATTGCGAGCGTGCCAAGTGAGCTTTGCGAATGGCGGTTTTGGATTAATTAGTTTTGGTTTAGCTCGAATCACATTCCTGTTAGTCCTGTATAAGCGCGATTAATTTGCTAGTGGTAATTTAACTTGCATTAATCTACAAGTTAGCGCTCTATGTAATCTCGATATAACTGGTGAAATTTCTTCCCCCCTATAAAGGCATTTTAGAGTTTCGTTATTTCGAAAAAATTTTGATAATTAAGTGTAAAAAATATGAAGATTGG